GCAACAACAGATTCACCTGAATAGTTGAAGACGCATTCAGTTATAAACCACCACTATCGCTGGACTGACAGGAGTGTAGTAGGGAACCTGAACTTTTGAAGTCATGTGAAATAATGAATTTGTTTTGTATAATTGCAGATTTTTTTGATTTGTTTTTTGGTTGCCAGCACTTCTAAGCTTGTACTCTTTTTTCTCAGATTATTCTTAAGTGTTTGTTCAAGGCATCTTTTCGTGAGCTTTGTTTTGGAACTCATGTTCTATGACGTCTTCTGTTTTTCTCAAACTTTTTCTTGTTGAGGATTTAACATTATAAACTATTTTTTTTCAGTTTGATACTTCCTCCTTCATATAAGACCGTGCAACCGTATGCTCAGTAGTTCTACAACCACGATTTTGGAAGTTTTATAGGTATGAACGAAAACCTCATGAGCTCAGAGTTTTTCGGTTTTTGAATTGTATCTGATCATCTTAAACGTCTCGCACTGATTGCTGATTGTTCGCATAGTCTTATACTAACATTGATTTGGTGCCATTATTTCCTCACATTTATCGCACCAACCAATCAGTGACCAAAAGGTCAAAACTTACAGCAGATTGTAAAGCAGATTTATTGTCATGGACAATTGAAAAACAAAACCATTGTAACTGTGTTTCCTTGTTGCCGAATATTTTTGATAGATATCGTGTTTTTGGTTAGAGGAACTTGTAAAACAGAAGTGGCCAATAGTTTCTGAGGCCGTTAAAATAAACTGCATATAGTGAAACTGTGTAGTTTTCCGGATGCGGTTTTTCATTCCAAAAGGAGCATTATTGGTAAGGGGTCTTTCATTTGATTTAGTCCTTGCAACAACTGATTGGTAACGATATAAAATTCATAAGGAGAACAGGTTTACAAAAATTTTGACAGTTATAGCTCGTGTAGAATCCGCTGACATTGGAAGATTCTGGGGAAATATTGATGATGTGTAGTCTTGATATCAATAAGAGAGCAATTGGTTTAAAGGTTTCTAGGACAGAGGGTGCTGTTTGGAAGATCTACTATGTAAAAGGCAAGCTATATTTTTTAGTGGTATTATTGTCTTTTCGTTTAGAATAAATTGACAGGATGCTGTTAGCTTATACATTA